TAGAAGAAAATTGTCAACTGTAAGAAGAAAAATAAATTTCAAACTAAGAGTTGAAATGATCAAGTGAGTTTTTGAAAGAAAAAATACAAAATCTTTTAAGAAATAATGTTTTAGGAATATTAAAGAAGAGCTTGATATTGAATTTAGCATCTGACTGAATAGTAAGATATTTTTAATTAAGATCAGTAATTTGAATAAAAGATTCAATTTTGAATCTTTTAGATTTGAGTTTTAAATCTTCAGTAAATTTTTGGTAGTCAATTGATTAGTGATTATTGGATAAAAAGAGATGAAGTCATATAAGATTGAGACAGAGTTAGAGACAGTTATGAGCAGTATATGAAGGAATAGTAACTAGTAAGACAAAAATTTCAAGATAGTTGAGTTTTGTGAAGAGAATAGTTGTAAATTTAAGAACTAAATTTTTGAGAATAGATTCAAGAAGGTCAAAAGGGATAGTAGTACTTTTGTCAATATTAAGATTGTTACTATAAATGAGATTAGTTAGGAATTCTGGTCATTGCCTAATCATAATACAGATAATATAATAAAATGAGTTTTAAGTATAAGTTGAATAGAGGTGGCAGGCTTGATTTCTTTATTCAGATAAAAATCATAAAAAAATTTTTTAAGAAAAATAAAGAGTTGAAAAGAAAAAGTAGTTTATAATTTTTTGTTAGATTGCATTTTTTAGTAATTAGAAAATTTATAAGTTAGTTATAATTAGAATTAGATTTTGGTTTAGTAACACTAGAATAGGTTTGAAGAGAAGATTTATTAAAAGTACTATCAGATGGATTAGTAAGTTAGCATTATTAGGAATATTAGTAATAAGGGTTGGTTAGAGATAAGGTTAGTATTGAAGATTATAATGAAGAAGGAGTCAATAAAATTAGAAGAAGTTGAAGTTTAGTAAAAAGAGATAGTAAAAAAATTAGTGGTTTTTGAAGATTCATATAGAATGTTTTAAAAGATTTGAGTAAGATTTTTCTTAGTTTGAAATAAGTTAGTTTTATATTAAGATAAGACAGTCATATAGGTAAGATAGTAAACTTTGTTGTTTTTAGTAACATATTTTTCATTAGAATAATGACAGTCATTCTCTTGATATAACTAATTAGAAGAGAGCATTTGGGACAAGTATAATAATATACATCAGAAATAAAAAATAAAGGAATATTGTCAATTAAAAAAGAGAGATTAGTTAGAAGTTGTTAGGTTTGTTTGTTAAAATTCCTTTTTATATTATTATTAACATAAGCTGTAGTGAATTTAGTAGTTTGAATATGGTTAGTATTAGTAACTAAGATAAATTTGATATAATATTTGTTACAGAAACAAGTAATTATAGAGATAGAAATAGAAACTTAAAAAAAATAAACAATTTTGTTAGTTTTAAGGTTTTTAGTTAAATAAGAAATTAGTTTTGACTTTAGAAGAAATTGGATGAGTATTGTTGTTATTTTCTTATTTATAAAACATAATTCCAAAACTGTTAAAGAAGTTTTGATAAAAATAATTAAAGTTTGTAGTATTAGGCTCTTGGTTACTTAATGTAGACATTTTTAAATTTGTTATAAATTAAATAAACATTGTATTAAAAACTTAGAAAGATTTCTAATAGTTAGATAATAGATTTTACAAGAATAAGAAATAAGAACAAGGGTTATATAATTGAGATATTACAGAAGTAATACTAGTATATGACTAGAATAATTAAGTTACAAATATGATTCAGGTACTGGTATAAATAAAGTTTATAATACAAATTGCTGTATATAATTAATAAGAACCAAATATAGAAATAACTAATTGTATTTAATGAGTTTTTATTAATAGATGGGTTACATAATTGTAATGTAAATTAATAAAGTATATTTTGGAAAGTAAAAGTATGGTTATACAAAAATCATATAAGAGAAAAAGGTGATAGAGTAAAGAAAAAAGATAGAAAAAAAGTTTTATAAGAGAGTAAAAGATGAATTTAGTTGTAGTTCAATCAATATTAAGTCAAAATTCTTTTTTTAGAACTTGTTTTGACTAGACAAGTGTGTATTACAACTTTAATTAAGAGTGTAAGATAAGTTATTGCAGTAGAAACTGTGAAAGAGTTAATTTTCTAAAATTGAAAGCCAAAGACTATCAATATAGTTTTTCTGTAAATTTAAGATCTAGATCTATAATATTTTCAAATATATGTAAATTACTGAACTGAACAAGTTTAGTTAAGACATCAAGACAGATTATCTTAGAAATAAATAGTTATAAATGTTTTTAGACAGATGTTTTTTTTATTAATTTTTGTATAATGGATTTGTAAAAAGAATTGTTTTTTTATGTCAACCTATTAGTCCTGAGTATTTGATCAAAATACTTATATATTTTTATATTCCTAAAAATGATAAACCTTCTATTCATCAATTTGAAAAACTTACAACAAAAAATTCTATTCTAAAGCCTAAAATATTCTATATTCTAAATTTAATATTAAATTTAATCTACCTAAAACTAAATCCATCTTCTCTAATCTAAACATTCCTACTAAACCTAAATCTTTGACATTTAAAAATAATACCAATCCACCTGAGATTCCAATTGATGACATTTTAATGTTTGACTCAAATACCAATAACAAATCAAAACAATGAACAGGACTCATAACCTGATCATGTTACAACACTTTCACATAATCCTTTTCAATGAATTCTTATGTTAAACTTATAAAAATAACCATCATTTCTAAGATAATGATGTCTTCTATAATTAGTAGACCATTCTTAGAAGAGAATGATATAAGCAAATAGGTGATTAAGTCTATTTATGTGAAGAACCTGGTTAATGATGATCAGATCCAATGTACAGAACAAGCTATAATATTCTGCATAGCTGTGCAAGCTGAGCATATGATGAGCAACCCTAAAAAGACAATAATCCTTCCTCAAACACCATTTCATCCCTATTTCGACTTAGCCGCCGTAGATTACACAAGAATTGGAAGGAATTAGCAACAGACTCACCGACGTGCCGAATTACAATAGCAAAACTTTTATGTGATATAAATAATTCCAATAATAATAATACAATCAGAACAGCAAACAAAAACGGAATAATTTTCATGTATGAATCACAGGTTAAAAGCCATGATAATAAATAGAGAAATTTAACGTTATAATAATCTAGAATAATCCTTTGATAACAAACATCTAATTTGCAATGTATTTTTTTTATTATGTGTCAATAGGCAGAGTAGATCTTAAGATGATGTCATGAGATTAGATCAACGAACCGGATAAAAAAGAGATATACCACTTCAGGCGCCTATAAACCATACTCTACATACTTTGTACTCCGTTCCTGGTATTTGTGCGACAATGTTCTTGGAGTTTCTATATTTAAACATTAAATGGATACATGCATAACGATCCGGATTGATATTATATAATATATGTAATTTCCGAAGCAGAGATAGTCAAGAAAAAAATTTTGGGTAGGTTCCGGGTGTAGGATAAGGAAAATTTCCAATTACCATTATCATTCGATTGATCAGAATTACATCGATACTGTAGTTAGTAGTATAGTATATGATATACCGTTCTTTAGGTTTCAGGAGTAGGATAAGAACAATTTTCAAATTACAGAGTATATCAGTATTGTAGTTATTCCCACTTAGTATATGACATATCATTCATGTTTAACTTTTAATTACTGTCATTCAGAAGCATATGACTTATCATTCTTCAAATTTTGCTTTATTTACAGTCACCGGGAAGTCTATGATTTATATCGATTTTAAATTTAATTTTATATATGATATAATTAATTCTAATTGACTTCAGTTCTTGATATACGTAGGTAAAAAGCATCATATAAGGTATAAATAAAGTCATGAGGATAGATCCAATCAAATGCAAAAGCGATACTACTCTGTCTATAAATCATACACTACGTACTTTGTACCCCGTTCCTGGTATATTCAGCAGGTCAGATTTTCATAATTTATGAAAACAGCTGTAATTTCGGTAACTATGAAAGATTAATTTCGGCCGACTAAATGCCGGAATAATTTTTTAGAGAAATGATTTTCGTACATCAGTTTCGTGTAACATCACGTACATCAATTTTATTTTGACCAATAAAAATAAAATAAAATGATCAGCATCTAAAAAATCAAAAAAATAATGCGATTTTATTGGTTAAAAAAAAATTGATGTACGTGATGTTACACGAAACCGATGTACGAAAATCATTCCTCATTTTTTATTATGATAAAGTAAATTAAGGATGCATTTTGAAAATTCAGCTATCCAATCAAAAAGCAAGGAAAGATACATGTGATTAACTTAAACCTCCCTAAGTGTACGTTCTTAATCAAAATTATCCAGATCTGTATCATTTCACTGACAATCGCTTTACCGACAACGCCAATTGATTCACAGATAAGTTTATTTCACTGTCAGTTTATAAATGAACTTATCTGTGAATCAATTGTCGTTGAACTAAGCTGTTGGTGAAGTTATCGGCGAAATGAACGGAACTCCAATTATATTTGACAGAATTTTCGATATACAATAAAATGAATAGTTTTTCTTAATTTCAAATTTTGAAGTCATAACTAAATACTTTCATGATCTATGACTCCTTATTATTATTATTATTATTATTATTTACATCTTTTAACATTATGAGGTCATATGTGGTGTGTGTGTGTAAGCTGTAATTATAAGCAAATGTGCGTGTGTGTAGACTATAGTTATAGGAAAAAGGTATAACTAGCATAGTGGCATAGAGAAGGTAAGGATGTTTCGAATGTCGATTTATAAGTCAAGATACAATATATTTATTAAACCGAGTTGTCGAAATATATAAATCTTTTGTCCGAAGAGACTTCGTAATTTTGAATTTAACGATACCATTTAACGAAAATAACGAATAGAATTAATGTAATATAAATACGAAACAAATTAATTTAGGGTAACGAACAATGAGAGCAAATTTGACGGTCACCGTACGATGCAACCACGAATACAAAAATGGTCCGTTTGTGGACACAATTCATCAATTGTAGCCTCGGAAATTGTAATATTTTCATCAAAAAGTGAATTAAGTAATAATCGACGACGTGAACGCGGCCCTCGCTTTTTTTGTACTCTAGAGTAAGTACATTCGCCATGCCTTTGAAAACATCTGGTACACGTAGCCCCGTCTGGCATACGAGTGCACCTAGCTTTCGAGTACCTGCAAAAATCACATGCCATTGTCGCGTTACGACGTTTTGCAGTGGAATGATCTTTACTCATCTTGGATAATTAATAATATTATTGCGTAAGAATATTAATTGAAAATTTTTTTTGGACCTTGTCAAAAAGCAAATACGTCGCCTCATGCTTATATTTATATAAGTTTCCTGCTATAATATCTGAAAGTAATTTGGTTAGTTATGATATCAAAGTTAATTTTTTATGATATCTGAAAGTAATTTGGTTAGTTTGTTAGTCTTATTAACTCTTAACCAGTAGGAACAAAATATCTCGTCTTTCTGAATCAATGAAATACAGTACATTACTTTTCCGTGTATTGGCATATTGCAGTAAAATAAAAGCAAAGATGAAACAAAATGATCGTACTATATTGGAGCGCTGTCAACTATGTTGATCAAAAATATTGGATTTTTTTTGGACAGTTAACGATCAGGATAGTAATTCATATAACTAATAAATAGTGATTTAACATTTTTAGGTATAGAGAATGATGTGCACTACTTTTTTTAGTATATTACTATTCTTGAACACATTTATACGTAACAAAATTACGTTAAAATACCGTTGTATTAATAGTAATTGTTCCAGATATTTTAAGTACGTAGGTTATTAAAAAAAAAAAAATTCTAATAATAGATTTCTAAAAGATATTACACCTAGTTTGTATTTAAATACAAGTTACGGCAAAATTACGGCAATTCGCCTGCATCACTAGTGCTAATATATTGTTTATGACGTTATTAATATGTAAGGCTTCAAAAATAAATGTTAATATATTTATACTTAGATAATATCGACTATATATATGTTAATTCATGCACACATGGAACCAACATGAGGTTGATCTCAACGTGAGGTTGGTATTTTTAACGACTACCAATCGTCGCTGGCTTTAAATACTAATTGACCTCATGTTGAACCAACCTAATCTTGGTCTATCACAAAGTCTATGATTTTGTTACTGATATTAAAAATCACAGGAATCAATTTTCCTTTTTATACAGTTTAAAATTAATAAGGCCATTTTCACTAATATGAACGGTACGTCTGAAATCTGTACCTAGTTATGCTGATAATCACAAGATCATATAAAACAGAAAAGAAAATCGATTTACTACTACACTTTAAATAAAAGCTTGCACTAAGTTCTGATACTTACGCACTTTTGACTTAGTAATACGTTTCTTGTTTAAAGTAATTTTTAGTATCAAATAGGGTGACTTGATGATCAGCATTACTAATAATAATTAGTGGCTAGTGAAGTGATGTGTTGATAAATTTATAGCCTATGGCTAAACTTATAACAATTAAATTTAAGTGATGATATCAATATTTGATTGGTGCCCATGGCTTGAATTAGAGATAGACAAGACAACAATATAATAATTATCGCGATCTTCTGGACAAAGCATAAAAAAATGTAACATCACGATGTGTAAATCTCAAATAAGACAAAATTTGGATTTTGGATTTGTAATCTGCCACAATATTTACTTATACCTTTGATTCTAATATACATCTTGTCAAACTTTAATGAATGATCCTTACATATTATGATTTACAGACGCAACATAGATAATGAATTCATTTTAATTATTTTTACGTATTATGTAAAATGTTAGAAGAAGGGTATACATAATTGAAAATAGTAAGCAATGGTACTAAATTTGACATTTCTATTTGGAATAATGGGTTGCCAATTCAAATTAATCTGCATCTACTAGTTTTCATTCGCAGTTTCTATTAACCGGAGACATCTCCGGAATATCTATACTATTAAAATTTTATTGTGATCTGTGTATCCAACCAAACTTATTTTCTTCCTTATTTTTGTGTATCTACTTATTTCCTCAAGTAATACAAATGTCAAGTATAGCCAATTAGATTATGCAAATTTTGGTTATTCTTACTCGAAAATTAAAAATGATTGGAATGATGAAATTTACGCAGTTCAAGTGACAACTTATTCCTGTGACTTCTAACACTAGCTTCCTAACCCTTCATTTATATCTTCATGTATTTAATAAATTTTTATTTGTTTCACTTATTTTTATTTTGTTTTACTCGCAAATAAATAAATTCTGATCAATATAATAATATGTTTATATTAATATTTATTTGTTTAAGCAAATTTTTTTTAACAATGCACATATGTTAGATCATATTTATTAAGCTAATCTTATACTAAAATCATCATCGTTATAATGTTATGAACAAATAAATCGGATATCCAGGTATTCCCATTTTCATATACAATTAATATACTAATTTATCCCAGCTCGGTTCGGTTAAACATAAGTTTTTAGCCACATGAGTTTAATTATGTAATTAAATTCATCATACTTGAATTGTGCTCTAAATCAATTAATCCGAGCCAAAAGCTCTGTATGTGCAATGTGTAGTCTTTAACTTTTATTTTATTTTATTTTTACGACAAATCAGATAATACTTTTAGTTCCTTCTTATTTCCTGTATCCTGATATGATACAAACATAGACGTGAACTCCATTTGGTTGATCTACTTCGAAACAATGAAGACAATTTACCGATGCAATCAAAAAGTGCGTTGTTTACTGCAGAAAATTCATCATTTCAATACATAAACGGGAATTTATTATAGTCTAATAAATAGTAGGTAAATTTATTCATGTGCTTCGGAACAGTGTTTGAGCAGATTTCGAAGCACGAGCCAATCGTTTAAACAGATTATTGTGATATCTATAGCATACGGCAAAAATACTCTTCCTGATAGGATAGAAAAAAAAAACACGTATTGTTCCTAACAGCTAATAGAATTCTAAGAAATTATATACTATTGAATTAGTAATGACTTAAGTAAAATTTTGCATCTCCATTATTACTACCAAGTCTGAGTACAAGATTAATAAGTAGAAAATGAACGGAAAAATAATATGCATCAAAATTTTTCCATATTTAAGTGACTAAATTATTCCTCCATTTGGTTTAAATAAATGCAAGATTGACCATATACTAATATCACATGGTGGACGATCATTCGTAATGATACCAAACACCTTAGGAAAGAACTCAAATGAATGCTAACGCTTATAGCATTTATTTAAAAATAAGAATCATCGAAATAGAAAATGGATCAGTTGTTCACAAAATATCAGTATTATATTGGCAAAATAATTGCTTATTTCTACCGAATGTTAGTGTTGGCATTATTTGATCCGCTTTCTATTGCTTAAATTTAACTGATTCCAACAGTCTGTATCATCCTTTTCATCGACAATTCTCAATTTATAGAATATATGATGTGAACAATGATTTTCGGATCTTTTTGTGACCCTGAAATATACAAAAAAAAAATTTACTTTCGACGATTAAGTAAAATTTTAACACAAATATCCTTATTATACTATTTATTTCCTTACTATACTATCTCAAGGACCAATGTTTCCAGAAATCATGACTTTAATATTCTCATGAAACTGGCACGAGCCCTTTAAGAACCATATCTGAAGCAGTATATCAGTATATATTCGATTTGTTTCTATTATCCGAAGCGTAGCGAAGAGCAATTCCTATGAAAAATGATACAAAAATTCCGTATTTGATGCATTTTTAATAAAAATATCCAAAACGCAACTCTGAACTTTCTGTCTGTTGCATTACTTATTGTGTAAAACCACTAACCTCATATAATTTCTCTCCGGACTTATAAAGATTTCCATTTCCTCATATGGAGGCTAATATGTATACCACCGATTTAATAAGCAGAAGTTAGTCTGATTGGCTAGGAATGTTTTCGTTTAAGACTACTTTGATACAATAAACCTAAATAAGCTTTTTAAGTTCGCAATAAAACTATTATTAAGTTAAAAACAAATAAATCAAATTAAAGTTTGAAGTAAACTTTTAAAAAATTACCCGTAGATCTATAAAAATTAACCAACCAGGCAAACCGCTGTTTATGAAAATTGATTTCCATTTACTATAGTCCGTGCCCGATTTCCCGAATTAGTTTGAACCCTTTCGGCTACAAAGGCACCATACATTATTTAGAATGTTACTAATCAGAATAAATTTTACCGAGAAAGTTTTACTATTATTATTATGCGGAGTGACTTCATAGAAAATCCACGAGAATTTTCAGATTTTCAGATTTCCAGATTTTCACATCCGATGCCAATAGGAGTTGTGAAGAGAAATTAGTTAATGAAATCAGCTTTCATACATACATACGTACTATGACATTTTAGATCATTTTCTATTATCTATGGAATATTATTTCCTTTTTTTCTAAGTATCCATTTTTTAATATTAAGTGCTGCAAGGCGAAAACCTGTAATTTCGGGTTTTGCCGGCTCCGCCTTTCAGAAACAGTGATGTATTATAATAAATTTTATAATAAATACTATTTAATGAATCATGTATCTAATAAGTCCGTTTCTATAAAATTAATTTCGGAAAACTCACTATTACAGGTTTTCCTTTTGCAACACCCAAATATTTTGTTACGAGTGATGTAATTAAACATTTATCCAATTTACAATTGCTAAGATATGCATGACGACCGGTGTCACGCTTTAGAAGAACAATTATTAATTAAAGGCACAGGGGTCATTGGATATTACAATCTACTATAGAGTTTTCAAAAATCTAAGTAGAGAACGTTAAAGAGCAAAAAAGACTGATTGTATAGTAACAGCCAAGAGTCATAAAGATCTTCATTTAATGGTATTTATGTACCCCCCAAAACTCTATTAGTGGTCATTTACCCTTTATAAAAAATTTATATTAGACTCAAATAAGCTAGAAAATTATTCCGTAAAATATAATCATAGCTTTTTGGCACTGCAAAAATATAATAGTGAATACAAAAGTTTAATAAGTATTGTCGTGCTCGGAAAACTGCAACTTGGTCGCTCCACAATCTGAAATCTCATGTAACCAACGATAAGTAACCTTTCGAAAGAGGTGTTAGATTTGGGTGGAAGGTGATTAAGGCTTTTGGTTACTTGGGTCAGCGAAATCAGGTATTGTAAGTCACGTGATCAAAAACTTGAACGAACCGATGTTTATAGGGGCTTATAGGATTTATACTGGGTAGAGGGTTAATGTAATATGATGAACGATGTATGATATTGGGACTTGTTATTTAATAAAGCAAAACAAAGCATTTTACTCTCTAGGGCCGTTTTGATTTTTATTTATATAATTGACTTTTGTAATTCAATAAAATTATTTATAGTTATTTACAATAATTTCTTTAATAAATTTAAAAATGTTTAATTTATCTTTAAAACCTTTTCTTATTTCCTATCTATCCCTTTGCACTCAAAATACTGCTTTCAATCACAAATGTAATTATTGTATTTCAAGTATTTTTTATATGATTGGTTACAGTATTTTAGTATTATGTAATTACATAATAAGCTCTATTACTAATAGAAAATACTATTATACAGCATTGCATATAGTACTCTGAATTTTTTACAAAAAAATTGAGATTAATTCTCAGGTTATTGTGTAAAGAGAAAAGTATTATAGAAGAAAGTATTATAAAAAAAGTATAATTAATTAATATTATTATGATTAGTTTATCTGGCTTGTATTATAAAACTGATTAGTAATATTCTAATCATAAATATAATACATATATAAAAAAATATAAAATTAAGTTTATTTGTAAAAAGTAAATAGTAGTTCAATTCAAAAAAAGATTTAATTTCATATAACTTTATTATTATTAAAATAGACCAATGAGCAAACAAAATACAACAACAATAAAATGTATATGAAAATTTGTTATTATTTTATATCATGAAAGTAATCATAGTAAACACAAAACAGCTATTAAATCTAATATTAAAATTAAGCAGTTTTGAGATTATATATCTAAAATTATAATTTTTAAAAACTCAACTATATTTAAAATGATTAAATAAAAATGGTTCTTTAAAATATCATAGTTTGAAAATTTTTTTAGTTGAGTAGATTAGAGAAAAATGATAAAATCAACATGCAGTTTTATGAAGCATGGTATAACTAAAAACTAAAATACTTTACAACAAATAAATAACAACATATATATTTTAATATTTAGTTATTTGCTTTTAATAATAATAGTTAAATAGTTTAATTTATTGCAATAATTTGAATAATTATTTTATACTACCTTTTTATAACATTACTAGATAATTTAATTAAAAACTAACAAGCATTTTTGGCATTTGTTATTTATAAAAATATTTAATATAATTATCTATTTGTATTAATCAATAATATAAATAGTATTTTATTTACTATATGATATTATTATTAATATATTAAATATATAAGTAATTTATATTCAAATTACTAAATATAAAAAAAAAATTATAATAGTTTTAGTCTGTATATTAAATAATACTAAATTTTTATTTTTTATAATTTATAAACTTAAAAATATTTTATGAGAAAATTTTTATATAAAGTTATTATTCAGATTAATCCTATTAAATAAACATATAAGAATAAATGCTTTACTAAATTAAAAAAATATTTGAACTAATTATTTTAAAATTTAAAATTTATAATTATTACTAGTCTTAAATTTATTTTTAATTTATATTACTAATTTTGTAAAATAGTATTTAATAAAAAATACTATCATTGTTATTATATTGAGAATTGATTCTATTTACAATCTTTATATATTTTAATAAATAAAACATTCAAAGTAAAGATATTAGAAAAAAACATTAAATTTTTTATTACATATTTTTAATAAATGCAACAATATTATAATAAGTAAATAATTGATTTTTATAAAAGAAATAATAGTTTTAGTAAAATTAAAAGATTTTTTTATGAAATTATAATAAATTAGATTAAGACTTTGTGAAATATAATTAATATTAATCTAATTTAACAGTTTTTTAAAATTTTATAGTATATTCAATAAATGTAATAGAACTAAAAATAAGTTAACTTTTAATTACAATTATTTAAATTAAATAAGTTTTTTTTTTTTTTAATATTAACAGTGAGGCCATGCCTTTAACTTTATTGAAATTCAATTGAAGTTTTTACAAAGAAAAGCTTGCTTTTAAATTACATATGAAGAATAAAGACTCAGACATATAATCTGCAACCTAAATCTAATTAAATTAAATAAGTTAATCTAATAATAATATTAAAATAATTAATAACCAAAAAATAAATGATATAATTATAAATAATATAATAAATAAAAATTAAGAGACATTATAACTAGGATTTTAGTAAGTTTGTTACTAAATACTTCCAATTTTTATATAATCTACAGCAGTTAAGTTAAAGTAGATATGTTAAATTTAATTGATAATTTATTTATAGATAAGTACCAGTCTTTTCTTTAAGAATTTTTTTTAACCTATTTTCATACTAATTTTTAGTTACTTTTATATATCTTAATATGAGATTACTCTATATTAAATTGAAGTTGGAACTCTTTTTATATTAATACCTATATTATATAACTTATAATAAGTAATTAATATAAGTTTAGTGATATATAAGCAAACAATTATACTAATAGTAGAGTTAATAATAAAAACTGATTTATTATAGAACTATACTTTATTATAGATTAAAAAAAATGTCTTTATTTATAATAAACATTTTATTTATATTGTAATTAATTCTTTTTTAAATGTAATATACTCTTTATATTTAAATTTTAACTAAATCTAATAAAAGACTAATATTTTATATAACACATAAGTAGCAAAATAATATAAGTAATATAAGTAACATTTCTATTACTTTTTATATAAATTTAAATCAAATAAAGATTATTGCTTTGATTTGAATACCTGTGATTCTAACAATCAAGCTTACAACATTTAACAAAATAAAAAAATTAAGATTAATTTAGAATTTGCAAAAAATAATAATGATAATTATATTTAAAATAAAAAATTATAATAATTTTTTTTTAAATATTAAAGATGAGACCATGTCTTTAACTTTATTAAAATTTAATTGAAGTATTTATAAAGAAATGCTTGCTTTTAAATTATATATAAAGAATATAGTGACTTAGTAATATGAATAAGTTGTCAACTCCTCAAATGGTAGGTTAAGTGTTCAAATTCTATCAATAGTAAACAATTGAATAATTGCTTATATAATATTTGTATTATAGTAACTGTTTCTAATAATTAAATTATGATACTTGTAATAACAGTTATACTAGCATAACTGATAAGATATGAAGCATTTGTATAACAGGTTATACAGAAAAATATAAACTAGCATTAGGTGATACAAACCTTAGATAAGTCCTTATAACTATATAAATTTATTGAAATTAGAAAATAATAAGTCTTTTTGTAAAAAATTTAAGTAAAAAGATAGTATAAATCTTTGACAATATTACTATAAAAGCTAAACTTAGAAAACAAATATTAATATAAAGAAATTACATATGCAAGAACCTTAAGTAAGGGGTAGCACCAACAAGGCTATCAGAAGTTTCAAACTGAAAAAAATATTAGATATTATAATTCTAGTATATCAGAAACAAGTTAAAGTTCTTCTAAACTATTTGAATTAGGAGTTTGATGCCAAAAGCAAGAATATATTATAAGTACTAAGAATATGCTATGAAGTAGTACTGGGTCTAGATGAACTTTATAAAGATAAGCCCAGTTAATAAGGAATAAATATAAGTAGTTAGTTAGCAAAGAGGCTCTTTGAAGCTCTACAATTAGATAATGTTTCTAAAATATATAACAGTCTAACAGACATTCAGACAAAGAGATTAGAGTTAGATTAAACAGCACTTAAATGTACAAAAACTTGTATGATTATTTGTTAGATATAGTATAAAGATTAAAGTGTCTAATTAGATAATCTCTAGTAGATTACAAATATAATAGCTTATATAAAACCTGCAGATTAACTATTTAAATAAATAGCCAAAAGCTATATATGTGACTAGTTGCATACTTACCTTGTACAAGTTATATAACTATAATTAAATCATAATAAAAACAGTAGTTACTGTAGTAAAAACAAAAAACATTATATATAAAGAATAAAGACTTAAATATATAATTTACAATCCAACCTATAAGAGTGACTAAGAATTATCTAGATTTAGATATTAGTAATAATATAAAAGAAAGAATATAATATTTAATCTATTAGATAGTTCAAAAATTAATTTTATTAATAATTTATAGTATTAAAATGAAAAGTAAGTATAGATTAGAAGAACTATAAGATAAGTTAGTAAAAGATGTAATTTGAAACTTGCAAAATGTAAAATATAGTATAAAATTCATATTTGTTTATATATTTATTAATTAAAATAAAGATAAAGTTTAATAATAAAAAAGTAGCAGTACAATAAGAAACAAAAATATTGTAAATAGTAAAAATAGGGTTAGTAGAAATTAAACCAGATAAAGTAGAATTAAGAAATAATAAGTGTAAAAAGTTATGTAGTTTAAAACTATTAAATATAAAAATTTCTTTATACAAATTAAAACCAAGATCAATTAATATGTCAAGAGCAGTTGTATTTAAGATACAATTGAAAGAATTAGAAACTAAGTAATAAATTATTTGAGCAAAGAAGTAAATAATTCAGTATAATAAAGAACTAATTTAATTGCATTAATAACAAAAAAAAGAATAAAAAGAGTTATGTTTGTAAAAAGTATAAGAAACAAATAATTTATCTAGAAAAACTTTAATACAAAAGATTTTCAAAGTAGAGAAATAAAAATTGTGAGTAAAGTT